CCCATGGCACACACGATGCTTTCTGTGTATCCCGAGTTACAAAATTAAGACTACAGAGAAAAGAAAGAGTGAACATAAGAGCAAACTAAAAAGAAATTAAGGGCCTCATTTCAAGCCTTTCTAACTAAAAAATGGAATTGAATGAAAAATGAAAGTTTGAGAGCCACTGCATTACAGTGTGATGGAATAAGCATGAGCTACTTAAGCCTGGCACTCACTAAAATATTCAATCTTTAAAGATGTTGAAGTATGAGTGAGCCCACACATGAAGACAAATAATGACAGATTTAACAGTTCTGTTCTCACGCCTCATTTCTACATACTCCGTGTGCCGCGGGCAGTCAGTGCACGCCCTGCCCCACTGGACCTGTTTCTGGAACGTGAGAGCAGTGGAACGAGCTATGAGCAGCTGTACACAAATCACAGGAGAACTACAAGATCACGCGGGAATAAAGAGAAAAACATGCAAACAACATGTTGCTTTGTCTTTCTGAGGATGATTTGTTGTTCATTCTGTGCCTGTTTTGACATTATGTTGTTAAAGTGATGAGAAATATGATCGTGAGTCCATATATCGTGTTTTATTTTGAAATTGAGCGGACTCTCTGTGCGTTTCTTGTCTGACTTCCTGTCTGGGTTGTCATATTATGTCCATCTTGACGTGGGCTTGCAGCGTGCGCCGTCAAAATTAGACCTGCAGTGTATTTGAAACAGAGCAGAGCATAGTGGCGCTGGTGGCACGCGCCGCGGCTCTCTCTGTGGAAACACAATGATTGATTAGAGTGGCAGCGAACCACAGCGTAGAACTATAAACATGCAATTCATTGGGATTAACTATTAAACTTTGGCGATTAATAGTGATAAAAATTGTAATTGTTTGACATCCGTACTTTACACTTGATCTTATTCTCTTTCTCTGTGGTCAGTTTAATGTGTGTGTGTGTTGTGTGTGTGTGTGTGTGTGTGTGTGTGTGTGTGTGTGTGTGTGTGTGTGTGTGTGTGTGTGTGTGTGTGTCAGCAAAGTGCCTACAGGACCAGAAAACCAGTGACTCCAACAGCAGGACTTATTAGTCCAGTAAACTTGCTCCGGGTTGCCACCCATCCATCACAAACGCCATATTTAATTGTCTGAATGCCATGTTTAGGTTCGGCAAACTGCCGCTTAATTCAAGGCAGCGTGCAGGAACCGAGCTGGGAAATAATCTGGTGATGGATGACTGTGACCCTCCTTTGGGTAGACTCCGACGAGCGGACAGCTGGATGGATCGAGCAGAGCAGAGAAAGCAGAACAAGGAGAGAGGGTGGGAGAGAAAACAGGAGAAAAACTTGGTATTCAGAGAATCACTCCAACTTTTCATCTGCCCTCAGGCCAGCAGGGGCTCAAGGGAATAACAAGCGTCTCCTTCAACCCCTTTTTTTTGTTCCCGGGATACAGAGAAGCAAAACCTTCTAAAAATAGTGTATTTCCTTGTGTGTGTGTGTGTGTGTGTGTGCGCGTCTGCGAATGTGTGCGTGTGTGCATGTATGTGTGTGTGCTGGCTAGCCTGAGCAGACTTCATGCATAATGACTTCCATTAACCTTCAAACTACTGAGGATGGCAGAGAAAGATTTACAGTCCATAAAGCATGACACAAATACTATGTTGAAGGTTTTTACAGTATGGTTTTCTCATCGTGTTTCTTAGCTTTTCTTTAAGCCGAGAAAACTCTGATCTAAGTTTCCTTTATAATGTGTGTGAAATACCTCTTGTTTTTGAGACACAGAAAGAGACAATCTTTCAAAAGAAACATTGTGTTCTTCAAAAGGCATTAATGATATATGTCTAAAGTTTCTGCTGACAAAAATGCTTACACGTTGATCCTGATCTTTGAGCCCAAAAATTTAATTATTTCATCCCCAAAGCCAAGTCCACCTTTGTGTTAATGGTAAAAAAGACCTGAGCTTGTATAGCGCTTTTTTAGTGTCTGACTACTAATAGCACTTTTACATCACAAGTCACACCTACACATGCACACACTGACGGTCGAGGCTGCTCTGTAAAGTTACCTTTAGAAGTAACTAATCCCATTCACACACGTTTATCTGCGCCGATGAAGCAACGGGAGTGCCTTGGGGTTAAGTGTCTTGACCAAGGACACATCAGACATGTGGCTGCAGAAACTGAGGATTGAAGCCCTGACCTCTACCACTGATCCACTGCCGCCCATGTGTATATTTTGAAGATATTTCATTCAGTCATTCCTGAGATATTGCAGTCACAGGGATGTTCTATACAATCAATGACAAAAAATAACGCCTTTTGGCCACATCTGTCAGCCAGAACAGAGGTGTAATGAAGTGTCATGCAGGCTGTTTCCCTGACAATAAAACCAATTCTAAAGTTAAAAAAAAACTGCCTTTAAGACAACAACAACAACAACATTAACAGTGGGTTAGAGAAGGATTGTTTAAATGGAGCTCCTTTTGTCAGTTTAAAAGGACTATCAACAGCAAATACTGAATAAATGGAGATCCAACTGCTGCAAAGACACGAAAATACCATCTAATGAGGCTGACTCAGAGTTAGATAGTCACAGGCTGGACACACATTATGTCTTTGTTTTTTTGTTTCATGTGACTTTTTTTTTCTCCCAGCATCACCACCTGATTAACGCTGTCGAGCTGTTTAAATTTCCTGATTTACTACAATAATCTACAATTAGATTGATCAATCCATCCCTGTACCATGTATCCCTGTATCTGCTGAGAACAAATTTAAAGAACACAGCAACAAGATGACATTGCTCATTATCTTGTTATAAGTGGCCTTTACTCCATCACTCCATCACTCCATAATTCCATCCATCCATCCATCCATCCATCCATTTTCTTCCATTTAGTAAGTCAACGTAGATTTAGTAAGTCAACGTAGATTTCCAAACCTCCATCAATGTTTTCCAGCTCCTCCTGGGGGATTCTGAGGCATTACCAGGCCAGATTGGATATATAATCCCTCCAGAGAATTCTGGGTCTTCCCCAGGTTCTCCTTCCAGTTGGTCATGACTAAAAGACCTCTAAATGGAGGCAATCTGGGGGCATCCTAGCCAAATGCCAGAACTGCCACAACTGGCTTCTTTGCAAAGGAGTAGCTGCTCTACACCAAGCTCCTCCCAAATGTCGGAGCTCCTCACCCTATCTCTAAGGCTGAGCCCAGACACAGTCGAGGAAACTCATTTAGGCTGTTTCTATCTTCAATTTTTATTCTTTCACTCACTACCCAAAGGGTGAGGGTTGGAACAAAGATTGACCAGTAAATCGAGAGCTTTGCCTTAAGGCTCAGCTCCCTCTTCACCACAACGGTGCACACGTCTGAATCACTGCTGACCCTGAACCAATCCAACTGTCAATCTCACAGGTCCATCTTACCCTCACTCCTGAACGAGACCCACGAGATACTTAAAATCCTTCACTCAGGTAGAAGACTCGCTCCCCACCCGCAGGCAAAGAACCAATGGCCTTTACGGCATGATGCAAAGCCTACTCTCTGCCTCCCTGAAGACAAACGTTTGGTGAACTTATTCCTTTATTTCAGATAAGGACAGAACAATAGTTAAATAGTTAAATATGGGTATTAAGCTTTTGAACCTGGCTGTAATAGAGAAGGGGCTTCGAGTGCCTTTCTCCTGTCAAATAATCAAATAATGTCTCTTATATCCATGAAACTTAGGCTAAAAGGTAGATTGTAGTCATAATTTAACATTAACTTCATTAATGAATTACTTTATATATTCAAAAGTCAAAATTCTAATATTGTAAATGTAGAAATACGACCAGAATTCTTATTTGAACCCTTTGAGACTTGCTGCTTTTTTATGAACCGAAAAGGTGTTGTGATAGTACTCACTACAACGGAAAACAATGCCTACATACGTATATTTTCTTATAGTGATGTCTTTTCTTATTGCAAGTATCTTTAAATATACCATTACCCTAAAATTGGTACAACCTATGGTTAATATTTTTGTGCTTACTCTTTTTCTAACATGGTTTAGTAAAATCATGTAAAAAAACAAAAACATCTTGCCGCCACTTTTGGAAGGTCTTTTTTTCTAGTGGTTGAGAAACCTATTCTAATCAAAATTTAGAAAAGAAAGAGGTCCTCAGTAGAGATGGGACCGGTCCCGTCTTATATCCGTATCCAATATTGAAGTAATTTACGGATTGGATATTGGACTGATGGTGCCGATCCACATCACTGATCAAGAAAGACCATTGGGCACTTTAACCATTCTCAGCTCGCATAGCCTCACTTTGAAGACGTTCAGACTGAACTGTAAGAAATGCCCACAAATTGTCTCCATGGCGACATTCAAATGAGAGTAAAAGCTCTATTTACATGTTAAAAAGCACAATTCTTACACTTCAGTTTAAAATATTTAATTTGAAAAAGGTGACAGCTGCTGCTGCTTCCTGTATGTGAATATAGTAAAACAATAGATATCCAATATAGTAAAAATGTAAATAAAAGAACGAAAGCACACTACGGTCTTTAAAAAATGAAATTACTTAGTCCAAATGGCAACATGTATTTGTATTGCAAATGCAAACTTCCTGCACCCATAACAGATCTTCATCTGGGTCTATTTCATCATTTCATCACATATTGTGTGAAACTCTCCTCCATAACAAGGATGGGGTGAGGTACTGTATACCTAGTAAATCCAACAAGCAGTTATATGTGATCACTACAAAGCCCCATCTGTGTTTCTCTTCATTTATCTTAATCAAATTTACCCTTGCTAAAAAATAGATGCACTACAACATTGTTGGACCTTTAACTGCAGTTGGCCAAGAACAGTCAAAGCCACAACCTCTGGCTCTGACCTTTACTGATGACCCTGTAGTGACTGGGGATCTGGAAAATCTGAGAGTACATGTGATGGCTGGAAAGGTGCAGAGGCTAGGAGGGTGAAGCAACCTTTGGTTGAAGCAATGTCAAAACAGGGTGACTTTACAATACCTGCACACTCCCCACGGCAGAGTAGGCAGCATAGGAGAACTGCTGCTTGGGCAGGTCGTTGGGTCCACGCTGGTCACAGGAATTCCCGTTTGGCAGGAAACACTGGCGACTGGACCTGTCAGTGATGGTGTTGGGTGTGGAGCCAGGCAGACTGAGCAGAACTGTGTGATTGGTTAGATGGACATCAGTCAAACCGAGTCCCACCCACTGCCTGTAGAGGTACTTGGCTCTGGCTTCCTCGCTGTCATCTGATTGGCTGGAGAAAGACCTGTGACAAGTCACAAAGATAAATTCAAATTCGTTCCCACAACAGATAACAGTGGATTAGTTCTTCATTAGGCTGTGTTCACACTGGACTTCTTTTTTCAGAAAAAAGTGCTGCTTTCAGCGCCTTTTGAGCGCTTATGCGTGAGTGTTCTGTAACCTTAATAACAGGATCTAGTCTGCGGTGCAACCGCGCCAGAGCCGGCTGGAGCACAACGCATCAATTTAGCACAGAAAAGAACAAGCGGGACGGGAAGTCAGACACCAATACAACATTAAAACATCTGGTTTATTTTCAGAATAACACCCTCAGTTTTGACGGTTCAGAAAAACGACCGTTTGTTTGTTTGTTTATGTGTTTATAAGGTTTTTATTGAGTCTTATACCACATACATCGTATTATCTCGCGCTGTCGCGAGTGAATCTGTTAAATTACCGCGGAAATTGCTTTGTCTTCATACTCCAGCTGTCCGGCTGTGCTCTCCGTGCTGCGGACTGAGAACGCAGCCGGTGGGTGTTGACGGATGAGGATTCACAGACCCGTAACAGACCGGAGCGGACACGCAATGCACACATATTTGGTGGAAGTTTGCCGTCTTTGGGCACAGGTAACTAGGGAGTAGGTTAGGTTACTACTCGTCCTGATTGGTCAGCTGTCACATGGACACATGGACATGTGGCTGCAGGAGCTGGGGATCAAACCCCCAACATTCTGGTTTAATGTTTGAATCCCCCTGGCGTATATGTCACTGAGTAGGATTCATGACAAAGCCGTATGTGTATAGGAGCATTTACAGTACTCAACGATTCCAAGTGCGTGCTGTTTGATATTGTATGAACTCTTAGGGTGCACTCACACAAGGCAAAGTTGTCCCATACTGTGCTTAAGCACGATTGTCCCCCCTCCCCATTCTTCCGCTGCCCTGCACTCACACTGTTTCAGGACTAACCTGGCCTTAGCATGGTAATCTCTTATACATAACGTCGTAATACAACACATGAATGGCTTGAAGTAATGATGAAGAGTGCTTAGTTTACAAGACAGGCAGACTCAAAACTAAACAATAAAAAAAATAAAAAAATAAATGATGCATGGTCAAGTCCGTGTCTGCACTTTGGGGAACAACACAGGGAACAAGACAGCTACTTTACTGACTTTGTGGCTTATTTTGAGTCATTTTAGTAAGATACAGACATAATACTCAATGACGAAGGCTGTCCAAGCACACCTCTTCCAAGCCTGCCAGAGCCAAGGAAGTGTAACGAGCTTGAGCCCAGATCAGAGCACTCACACTACTCAAACAAACCGGACTTTAGGGGTGAAGTGTACTTGGGCATGGTACAGATTGCCTAGTGTGATTGAGCCCTTTATGCTACTCCACCATGACAAGCATGTCACAGTTATTCACATCACAAGGCTTTAAATGAACAACACCATCATGACATTCTTGAAAAATTACACTCATTAAAATGGAAAGTGTTCATAAAAGATTGCGTGAAAGACTGAATATGGAGAAATCCATTTGGCAATTCAAACTATTCAGAATGATAACAGTAATTTATTGTTAATTGGTCTTCCATCTTCTCCACATTTGCAGGTTCTTAAACAGAAACCTCTCTCTAACACACATTTCCCACAGGAGCTGTCAGTCTCCATCATCCTCCTGGCCATAATTGCATGAAATACATGTCAATAAAATTTGATCCAGGCCTTATTTGAGTCTCCTCTGTTGGTTTGTTTGTTCCTGGTGTTTACTCTTTTTATTGTTCTGACTCTGACAGGTCTGGGTTTAAATTTTCAGCCATATAGACGTTTCCAGGATGGACTGGCTGATATTTCAGATTTTTTTGTTTGAGAACAAATACACCATCCAGCACTGAATAATAACTTGGCCTGAGAAGATAAGATATCTCAATAAAAATATATGCTCTCAAATATAAAGTCTACAAATAACAAAGAATGAAGCCTTTTTCTTTGTGAAAAGAAATAAAATGAAATAATGCACTTTCAAAATGTCACGATTAACAACAAATGTAGAGACGGTTTTATCTAAGACGGTGTCTTAGATCAGAGTTATTTCTTTAAAAAAGAGAGAGTCACAAAATATTTTAGCATTTGCAAAACACTGAACATTTTCTTTGTCTAGATTGTCAATACATTTTAAATAAGAAATAGATTCACACATATTGTTATACTTTTGTGTTTGTCATATTTCAAAGCAAACTAAATTAATGACAACATTAAAGAAAACCTCAAACAAACAAAAGGGAGACAAATTCATGTTTTTAGAAGCCTCTTTAAGGAGTTCCAAGATTCAGCAGCTCTGATAAGTATACCTTTTGTTTTACAGTTTGATTGTAGAACAGATTAAGGGCCAAGATTTGATGAGTAGTGGTTGAAAAGAAGTTAGAAGGAGATTGTAAATGTGACTGGAGGACAGGCCAGTGCTATGAATGTAATAAATTCTACAATCCATTGATCAGACGCTTTTATCCACAGTGACGGACATTAGAGAGTAAGTACAACACAAGCAAGGATCTAGAGAGAGACACACGGGTGCTCACAGGCGCTTAAAGAAAAAAGTTAAAGTTAAAGTATTGTCACCAACAACAACATCAACAGCGGCTCTTGAGAGTTCATCAAAACCATTAAAAACCTTCCTAAATATTGTCACCACCAAAACCATCGTCATCATCCATATCATTAAGTTTGTAGGTATTCATGAAAGAGCTGGGTCTTTAGCTTTTTCTTAAAGATGCAAAGAGACTGCAGTTCTAATGGAGTTTGGAAGTTTGTTTCACCACTGGGGGACGGCAGAGGAGAAGAGTCTAGTTAGAAACTTAGGGCCCTGCTGTGAAGGTTGGACCAGACACCTTTCATTGGCAGAGCGTAGTGGGCAGGAGGGAGTGTGGACCTTGATTAGAGAGTTTGGGTAACGTTTTTAATGTTTGTTAAGCAAGCATCAAGGTTTTAATTAAAAAAAGACAGGTGCAAGAATATGAGAGATATTAGACAAACGACTGGTATTGCAATAATTCTTAGCCAAGGCAAACATGAATGGACAGCTTTTGTGACATGATCATCCAAAATTATACTGTGAAATGATCTTGTCCAATTAAAATAATTACAGTTCTGTCTGGAATACGATCAATTGAGAGAGATCTAGTCTTAGGTAGCGGCTGAAAAAAAAATCATGCATAGATTCAGATTATTAGCTGTTGAGTAATACAGTGATATGATTGCCCTTGAAAAGATTGAACAAATTATCCAGTGGAAGCATGTATAGAGAGAACAGGATTGGTCCAAAGACGGAAGCCTGAGGAACTCCACACAGCCAACAGAGAAGAGCAATGCTTGGCAGAGTCTACTTCTTGCTTTTCTTTGCTAGTTTCAGGCTCATCAACTAAAAACCAAAAAAGCAAGTGGGCATGGGGCATCTTGATCAAAACATTTCATGATACCTTTTAGGTTTCATCATTTAATAAGGCCTAAAAGTGGGGCACACTTTGGTAATAATTACCACCATCTTTTACATCTGTCTGTTTTTATTTTTCAGTTGTCTGTGCAAAATATTTATTTTTAGGCCTATTCAGTTTTGTGTGTTTGTGTGTGTGTGTGTGTGTGTGTGTATGATATCTATATCAGTCTCAGTCTCTGTAGCAGATGGCCCAAACACACAATTCTGCTATTCTCCTGTCAGCAGGCCAAGTCTTATGGCCCGCCAGGAGCAGCAGCAGGAGGCTGTGTGTGTGTGTCTTTGCTTGTGTGTGTGTGCTTTTGTGTTCCCATGCATTTAGAATGTGAGCTTTTGTATATGTGTATGCTCACACAGACCTTAATCTAGGACTTCCTGTGGTTTGGGAGACATGCTCCATGCTGGGTACTCCTCTTGTCTCAAGTGACTTTTGAGAGTGTCGATCTTCACAGCTGCATGTTTATGTGCAACCCTTACCTGCATATGTCTGCCTCTGTGGCTTTTTTTTCAGCTTTAAAAAGGAAATTCTAAAAATGCTCAGGTTCAGTTCAGGCCTTTCAAACCCCGTGTGAATTCTGCCCATCATTTAGCATCCTCATGTAACTATACCTGCCAAGCCACTACCTGTCTAGATAGTCAGTCATTCATTTATATGATCAGTTGAACAGCAATTTTTGATTGTTACCACCATATATTAAAATAAGACGGGCAAATCAACAGCGACCTGTGAGTGAACTCAAAATATTAAGAGCTCCCCCTGCTGACTGCCGGCAGCATGGATCATAAACCCTGCCTCCTTCATGTTAACAGATTGGTTCAAACTGTAAAGTAAAAATACACGTCAAATACATTTTTGTCAAACCCAGATTCTTTCTTATAGAAATGATCATGCTATATAGATTTTTCGATGTTAATTTGTTTCTCTTAGTTCTTTCATGCAAAAAAAATAGACGTAATCTCAAGATCGACAGCTCTGGTGAAAAAAAAGATGCAGCTTCAGAGAAGAGGAGGAAAGGTGGGAGAAAACGTACTGAACTTGGGGCAGCAGAAGCTCAGTCTGTAGGGACTTGGGTTGGGAATTGGAGGGTTGCCGGTTTAAGTCCAGATACGGACCATAATATTGGAGTTGGTCTGGTAGCTGGAGAGGTTCCCGAGCACTGACTAATGCATGTCCACAGGTCCTGTTTGTGCATGTGTGTGATTCAGGCCTATGTGTGTGAGAAAAATGTCTCTAAAAGAACAGAGTGTAAACCAGAATTTCCCTCAGGGATTAATAAAGTATTTAAAATTCAAAAATTCAAATTCAAAAACTTTCCATAACCCTGAGTGTCTGCTCCAAACCGACACAAGTATCTGTTCCACTGTGGACCTCTACCGACCTGAGGGATCTTCGACATTATATCGGTAAGTTAAGTGTGTGCTTCAAGGGGTTTAGCGTTTGGTGTCAATTCCCTGCCTCTATAAGCCAGCTCCTTTTGCATTTCTTGGTTGCAAATTGCACTACCAGCAAATTATGTCTGCACTCGTC